GTACTCACGCCCCAGCGTCACTTACCAGAGAGGCAGTTTAGTGATTTGCCCACAGTAGTAGAACCCACTTGAGCTTCTCATCTCGCTCTCAGGGACCGTCCTACAACTTTCAAGTGCGATTGCGTTTGCACTTTAAACAAGTCAGAACCAAAGGCCATAAATATTCATGTCCACTGTCCCACGTCTCTGCTGTCATTTGCATCAAAGTTGGACTTCTCTTGGAAAACAGCCACTCATTTGGAAGAATCTAATTGTCACAAAGAAAACACCGCCCGGGGTGGGGGGGGGGGGGGGGGGTCTACAGTCACATCATTCTTTATACCAGTTTAAGACATCTGTTGAAAACTCTTCTGTTCTGAGAAAAAGATTTGACACGCCAATCCTGTTAATCCGTCCACAGGGGGCGCTCTCAGAGTCACACAGGGCAGACAGAACCAACCTTGGTTTCCTGAAGCCTCTCAGATGATGCTGTTAGTTTGGAGTTTGGATTTTACTATAACCATAACCATTTAGATTACTGTGGATTATATCAGACTAGATTAGATTAGATTAGATTAGATCTGTGTGGCATTATTATTATTGTTGTTGTTGTTTTTATGGTAGTTTCTATGAACAGGACGTTCTCCTGTAACAACGTCTTTGATACCAAACCAAAGTTCAAGCTTGGTTACAGACACAGATATAGATCAGGTAGATCAGGTCTGCAGGTGCCAACATGCCAACCATGTGCCGACTCCTGCTGCTGCTGCTGCTGCTGCTGCTGCTGCTCAGAATACATTGTTATGATAACGCAGATGTATATCTGGCTCATAAAAGCATCGACTTTAACAACACTAATGAGCGCTGCTAATGATTTGATGCATCTTCATTTAAACACACACACACACTGGACTCACACACTCAGACGTGCGTGCTGTAACGGTGTCCAGAGATGATCATGTTCCTTAACCTGTGATTAATAACAGATCAGTTTAAACCTCTTTAACTAACCTCTTGTGCCCCCCCTGCTGGAGGAGTTTTATACTGGATCTTGAATATGGATGAAGGTCATTTATTTTTCATGTTTCCTTCATGTGACTTTGTCCTGGAGCAGTGGGACAGGACACACTGTCCAAACTGATCATCATAACGTGGAGATGGTTCACGGTGAAACTCAGTCACTGGTTCATTCCCACACAATTGACTTTTTCTTGTTAAATATATGAAGCTCCTCTTTTTCTCTTTTTATGAATGCTTAAAAAAATCCAACCTGTGTTTAATCTCCCTGCTGAAGCGTTTGTTTGTTTTCTCTCTGCACGTCCGGCTCTGATTGGCTGTTGGTTCCTGGTCTCCCACAGAAACAAGTTGGAAATGGATAAAAATTCCTCATTTATTGAATTAGAATTGCAAAATTGTCTTAATGGATTCCTGGTGTTGTAGCAGTTTGCTGGCTGATAGCATTACTCTGGGCTAGTTAGTCCAGCACTCATCTCTCAGTGACGTGTTGTTGGTGATCTGACTGATTTGATCCTCCTAAAAATAAAGCAGTTTTTCTTCCTTCGCTGGTCGTGTCACACTGATGGGCTGGTTATCAATCACCGGGCTCTGACCGGGTCTTAATGAGACGTTTCTCTGTCAGCTTCATGGCTGTTAACACGACTAATGACCATGAAATTAGAGCAGAGAGGGAAACTGTGGTCAAACATGTGGCAACAAAGGATCATCCAGGTCCGGTGTCTCCAGAGGCAACTGCCAATCACTGTGTGTCAGGCTGACACCTGACGCAGCACGTCTGAGCAGCCAATAAGACGACCACTGACCACAGTGGACAGTCCCCAGAGCTGCAGCCACGTTTACTGTCTTTGTTTTTTAAAATCATTTCATCACGAATCAAAAACCTGAACGTTTGTTGTCAAAGATTCAGAAAATATAAACTATTAATGTATATTTTTTTAAATGATCATTTCCTTCTAGTTTCTCAGTGTTCATGTAAAAACAACTGACGCAGAAGATTCCACTCCAGTCTAACCTGGTCATAACTGACGCAGAAGATTCCACTCCAGTCCAACCTGGTCATCACAGAATCAGAACCACAGAATCAGAACCACAGAATCAGAACCACAGAATCAGAACCACAGAATCAGAACCACAGCAGAGTGGAACTCTCCTGCTGCAGCTGCAGGTACTGACTGACAAAAATACCTAAAACCATTGGTATGATCACGGATACTGTCAAGTTACAAACTTTTGGTTGTAGCTAACGTTAGCTCTGGGGTCTGTACCAGGCCGGCTGTAGCTAACGTTAGCCCTGGGGTCTGTACCAGGAGGGCTGTAGCTAACGTTAGCTCTGGTGTCTGTACCGGGACGGCTGTAGCTAACGTTAGCCCTGGGGTCTGTACCAGGAGGGCTGTAGCTAACGTTAGCTCTGGTGTATTACTTGCACACCCCCATACTTTTATCTAAGCTGAAATCAGTATTTTTTTTAATGCATCCTATTTGTCTTTGTTGTGGCTGGCAAACAAACTATAGGTACATTACTGCCACCTATGGGCTGGAGTGTGTGCGCATCAGTGTTAACAATGTGCCTGAAGCTTATTAACGTATCATTAATTATTAAAATTACAATTAAAGTTAAAGTTGAGAATTATGGTTAGAACACAGTGTTATTTTGATAATTATATCTAGTCCTTCTGTTATTACTTGTTAACTGTTGTTCAATCGCCCTCATATAAATGTGTGTCCCTGCTGTTCAGTTTGTGGAGAACAGTTGTTGATCATCAGCCCAGAGAGACTTTGTTTCCACTCACCCTGGTCGGAGCTCCGTGTCAGAGTCAGAGTCAGAGTCAGGCTGGGACTTCTGCTGCGTCTCCATCCAAGAGGACTTCCCTCCTCCTGCTGCTGCTGCTGCTGCAGCGGCGGCTCAGTGTGTGTGTGTGTGTGTGTGTGTCAGTCAGTGTAGTGACTGAGCCTCTCACTGTGTTGATGGCTGCACGAACACCAGCCTGTGACTCGCAACCAGGTTTCAAAGGCTGCCGGACAGAACCACGCTCTGGTCAGAGAGGGGGGGGGGGGGGGGAGGCGT